ATTCGTCCATACACCGGGTTTCATGGTCTGCTTCACTCTTGTATTAACTTGTCACCATCGTGTTTCATTGTGTATTTATCTAACTTTGAGCACTCTAGGACAACTTCTTTCCATCTTAATTTAATATAAGAGTTGCTTCCTCTATTTCTGCAATTTTGCGGTTCTACAGTTTCGCATCCTTTTTTTAATTTTTTTTTTATCAGACATCAGCCACAAAATGTACATGTATCTGGAATTCTGTTTGATAGCTTTTTGCTGTCCACAATAGATTCTTGTATGTCAAGAATGGACTTACCTATGGAAACTTATTCTTGATCACTATGTACAATTCTTAGTTTTTTTAGATAGTTTCATTTCTTTTCTGGTAATTTGTCTCCAATAGTCAAAATTGACAAAACTCCTCTTTATAAAAAAAGAAAAAATTTGATAAAGCTCCTTTATCTCAGTACAGTAGTTGCATCTTGTGTCAATATCTCCTTCAAGGGTTTTAAATTGTTGATTATGTAACTTCTAGTCATTGACGTGGAAAAATGAAGAAGTGCTTTCTACTGATTAAATTCGAAAATTTAAAGATTTCTCGTGACTAGCAACATTCTTTTATTAAGCCTCTGCTCTCTTTTGTATCTGCATGCACATTCAGTCAGCCAACTGGCCTCTTTTGTATCTACTATCCTACTTATTAACTTCATATGAACGTTATTGTTTATGGATTGATTCAGATGCTGTAAGAACCATAATGAAAGAAGAAGGATGGAGGGCACTTTATAAGGGGCTTATGCCAGGCCTATTTCTGGTTAGAATTACATTTTCTTTTATTCTTGCACATAGTCTCTCTGCGGTTCTGTAAATGAATGTGTTCTTATCTTGGCGTAAATTTTCAAAGTTATACTTCATAGCTTCTTTTAACTTTTTGGATAGATTATCCAAACAAGATGTAACCAATTTAATGTTGAAATGTAACCTTTCATTCATGAAACACGCTGGTCTGCTGTTGCTTCAGCAGGTTACCCATGGCGCTATTCAGTTCACAGCATATGAAGAATTTCGTAAAGTTCTTGTAAGCTCGAAAGCTCAGGAAAATGAAAACACTCTTGCCTCAGCTGCTGACTTGTTGGTGAGGCTCTAAAAGCTTTGCTATTGCTTTCTTTGGATGTAATTACAACTGAATAGTTGTTTTTATCTTTGGATGACCAGCAAACCTGATCCCTGTACCTAAACACTGTCCAACTCTTAGTAGTGCGAGTTTCTTTCCTCATTATTTGGTCATGGTACTTGTGCACAAACAGTAAGTTGTGTTCTAGGAAATCCTGTTCGTGCAAAAACTTTCAAACATTTTCTCATCGAGCAACTAAGGTATCATTTCTATTTCATGTCTACGGATTATCCAAAGGCACATTAGATTTTTTTTCAGTCCCTAAATGACTGCATCAGAGCGACACTAGCCTGCCCAACCCCTTCCCCTCCCCCATTAAAAAGATAAATATACAACAACAATATAGCCGGTGTAATCCCACAAGTGGGGTCTGGGGAGGGTGGTGTGTACGCAGATCTTATCCCAACTACTAGAAAAAAGTAAAAATGAATATTTTTCTTTGATAAGCAGATCAGAATGATTCAGTTATTTTCTAAACTAACTTTGTGGTTCTTGTTATTGTTTATGTGGTGAGAGATGGTTTATTTTAAGCCAGTGAACTGCCACTCGTTGATCAATTTGTAGAAACCCATCTGCTCCTAAGTGGTGATATACTGTATTTTTTGTCTGAAAAGCAAGGAGACTTCATTAAGGCTAAAGTAAATGGAAAAAAATTGGTTGCACCATATCTGGAAGTTGATCATCACTCAAGAACACTATCAAATGCCAGTGATAGTGTGATCACTGTTATGATTAGTTTTCTTCGTCGGAACATAAGGAATAAAATAGGATTGCTAACTTCTCTTGATTGTCTTGAAGTAATACTGTAAACTTACCCCTTGGTATTTGCTCTTCAATTTCTTTCGCAGGATTCAGTTGACTATGCGACACTAGGAGCTTCTTCCAAGCTGGCAGCGATTCTCACAACGTACCCATTTCAGGTATGTTAGGGGTGTGATAAGTTTGTTCTTATCTCTGTTGTTGGGGATATGGGTTTGGGAACAGAAGGTTTTAAGAGCATTGTGGAGCACCCACCTAAAGGTGCCTATTTGTTCCAACAATCTTTTACTCTGTGCCCCTCGCTTTTCTCTTTATCTAATTATGTGTTTAAATGGAACTTTTGCAGGTTGTACGATCTCGATTGCAGGTAACTGCTTTTCATATTACTATTGTGACACTTGATGCAACTCTTCCTGAGGAGACAAGCATTTACTGGCTCTTGATTTTGATTTTCTGTAGAGTAGTTAAAAGGTCTATCTTCTCTTTGAACAGCAACGACCAAGTACAACTGGAGTTCCGAGATACATGGATAGCTGGCATGTTGTGAAGGAAACTGCAAGGTCAGGATAAATTTCAGCCTTATTTACTGCTGATGCACTTGATTGGCATCAAGCATTGAGTTTCTTTATATTGAACTGTGTTCAGAATTTAAATATCTGTTCATCGAATGCTCTTAATTGTGGCTTACAGTATCAGGGAATCAAACTGAGAATAAACAAAAGCCAAAGAAATTATCATTCCTTTTTATTTATTTTTCTACACTGACACTGTAATTCTTTTTTAAGACCGTTTAGTTTAGTAAAAGGTTTCCAGTCAGTTATCGAACTCCTTAAAAGAATACTTAATACAAAAGTATATGCATGGGAAGCAAATTACATGTTTCAAGCAAATTACATGTCCTCTCTCGATCCTTATTTTTTTCCATCCTGTGTCTTCCCGTCATTTAATAACATGCAATAAAGATCGTCTACATTGTAAAATAAGAGAAGAAAGTAGAACCCCCCCTTTATTGGCAAAAGTAACCCTTAATTTTTCCCTCTTGTTCTTTTCTTTCGTATTGTGGAAACAGGTAAACAAATGATATGAAATTTGAGTGAACTTTCATCATTTAGTTATTGAAGAATTTTTAAAATATACATTTGATTGTTTCTTATCACCAATATTAAAAAAAAAATTATACAGTTGATTGTTGGAAATTTTGTGATTTCTTGATGTTAACTGTAGACTTAACAGAAACAAAATAGATTTATGCCACATTAGAAAAGTTCAACCTTGGAAGGAGGTATAGTTCCTCTCAAAAATATGTATCCCTTATTGAATCTTCTTGGCGTAAATTGGAATGATAGATGATAGTGAAACCCTGTTATAGTTCATTAAATCTTATGTATAGATAGTCAGTGTTTTTCTCCTTCTTCAAATCTCCTTTTGCTATCTTTTTGGATGTAGTTACAACACTTTAGTGTTGGCTTCTGACATCAATAATACTTACCATTTCAAATAAAAAGTGTACACCATATTTTCTCTATAAAAATAAAATAAATAAACCTGATTTGCTAATTACCTTTATGTCTTAATCCACGTCACCAAGTTAGCACCCACTTGTGTAAAATGTTATTGCACTTATAGTGTAAAAAATAAACTACTTTTTCTCAAAAATCTAGTAAAGCAATTGCAGTTTCATGCTAGGGGTTTTGAAGAGTCAATCCTGAATTCTTATGAAAATCTTCACGACTTATAATACTAGAGAAACGACTAAAGTTTCTGTCATATCATGTATCAATGGAGTTCTAGTTGTTACCAGATATTGAATTTTTTTTATCTTACAGGTTTGAGGGCATACAAGGCTTCTACAGAGGTATCACCGCGAACATGCTGAAAAATGTCCCTGCAGCTTCCATTACGTTCATCGTCTATGAGAACGTCCTAAACCTGCTAAAATTGTCTAGGAGAGAGTATTAGTTCTTTTACATCCTTTTTCCTCCCGTTCTTGTTGTAGCATTAGGATTCTACACTAGTGAAATTTTTTGGGAAAAGGTATACTCAGATTTGAGAGGGGTACAAATAGGTTCATGATACCACTTTACTGGCAGGCGCACTTGTTAATATTTAGAGTCTTTGTAATTTATCAGAAAAGAAATGATCTTCGGTCTTTGTTCAAGTACCCAGGAGACTGCTGCTGTAGCAAGAATAATAGCGGAATCTATGCTTTGACTGTATGTGATCTTTGTTACTTAAATGCATGTTCGTGGTTGTTTGAAAGGGAAACTTGAAGAGATGTATCAGAGTTTGCTCTCTCGCTTGATCTTTGTTCTTGTTTTCTTTAATTTGCTATTCCATCGAGCCTTTGTAATTTTTTGACGAGGAAGAAAGATCTAGTTGCATGCTACCAACTATTTGAAGAAGAAAAATATATCGAGGAATGAACAGAAAGGAAATCCCAATTACAAGTAAATCACTTTGACAAAGGTGCTACACAACTAAGGACATATGATGACTCAATGCAGGAAACTGGTCCTTCGTTATGTTGCTCTTTATTCTTGACGCCTTGAATGTCACTTGCAGGTTGGCAATACACTTGAGAGAGAGCTTGATGAATTCTAGAGTGTGCAAGTGTGATGTTTTGCCTTTGCTTCATGTTAATATTACATAAGTGCCATCACTTGAATGATGCAAGCATGTTTGGTACAAAGGCATTCCCCATAAAGTGACTGCTCTACTGTTTGCACTGTTGCGTGTGTGCAGAGGAACACTTGCAGTCACTTTACAACTGTGGGGAGTTGACTGGTACTGTCAGCAAGGGAACTGATGTCGATCTGTTCCCTCTGTTGTTTCTTGGACTCTGAATGTTGGAACATGCCCCAGACTTGAGACTAGTTGATCTTGAACACTCAGAGGACGTGGAACAGGTTCCCCATCTGGTTCTCAACAATAAGTTTGTTAAATCATCAAAACATAGTAAGACACATAACTTATCACAGTCCAATTTCAAATCTAGACTTAACAGTTGTCTAATCTTGATTTTCTTGGATTCTGATTAAAATTTCGTATTTGGTTAAGTGCCAGTTTGAAAAGCTTGATCGATAGAATTAGATAGTCTTGGAAGATTTTAGATATGTGACTACATTGGCAAAGACAAGTACCTGATCAACTTTGGCAAATTGATGTGAGAGGGTTTAGGAGATATGTCTTATCATGAAACATGCGGCAAAAGAACTTAGTGACGTCAACCTAATCATATACGTACTAATTTGCTTAGAGATGTGTATTTTTGCGAGTACAAATATAGGAGTCGACCTCTATATATGACAAAAGTGGTATATGTTTGCATATGTGCACATGTACACGTAGACGTGCACATAGCTGTTCTTTTTTCTTCTTTTGCCAACAATTTATAACTGATCTAGCTTATGCTCACCTCAACTATTATCTGATCTAGCTTAAGCTCACCTCAACTATTTCATCGAGTACTTACTACCTCCCACTAACACATGTACCGGACTGAGAAGAAATCACTTAATATTTTTTTCTCTACTGAGATTTGAACCCCAATCTCCCATGATTTTTACTCGCTTGCATTAATAGGCCATACCGTTGGGTGCATGTCTTATTACAAACTACCTATGACAAAAGGAGTGGAGGGTCCAAAAAACTAGAAACCTTCATAGTATTATTTAACAGATATTACTCAGCAGGCTAACAAGGAAACAAAAGTCACCAGCCAGACAAAGCAAAAGTGCAAACTTGTTTAGACGCCAGAAGAAAATTCCTCATGAGGTATCAATTAGGCTGTAGTGCATTTGATAAGAGTACATAATCTTGCACAAGTAGCTCAAAAGGAAAATCAGTCTCTCATTTACAAATACTGGACAGTAAAGGCCAATTTCCTGCACATAAGTTTTGTGCTGACACTGGCCATGGATATTTAGAAGTGTTTGACATTAGCATTTGATTTTAAGTAAGCAAATGCAGCAATGTTGGCTCAAGGGTCAGATGGACACCCATCACACCTTATCATCATGGAACCACCACCTGGTTTCCTTGGGAGATCTGCCATTTCTACAGTTCTTCACGTAGCGGTCATTATCTTCGGGGCGTTGCTGCACAAGTGACGGGAACCAATAAGAATTAAAACTAAGATAAAGCACGAAAAGCCCGTCCGAACAATGTGGTAGATTACATATTTTCGCAGAGTACAAGGAAGAAATAGGTCCCGACATATTTGGAACAGCAGGCCCTTTTAGCATAGCGCAATCTCATAATAGCAACTCAAATTAACATTATAAGGGACACATGAAACGCACCTTCACAGTTGAACTTGACAGCATGGAGAGAATGCTGATGCATATAGAACTGACTGTCATGGCAGGAGACCATGAATCATACAAAATATCTGCAAAGACATGAAGAAGCTGTTGTCAACTGCTGGCTTTACTGATGCATCTCCAATTTCTATCAGGTGTAGAAGAATCTTTCATGAGATGGAAGCTTAGCTCTAGGTCGCTAGCACACCAATTAGTGAACTGCCCATCGACCTTTAAGTTTTCACCCGCAGAAAAAAAAAAGACTGCTATTTAACAGCATAACAGGAGAAACTAGAGAAAGAAAAACTAAAGATGGTATTTCAAAGTTTTCCACCTCTACGCCTTACAAGTCCAAAGGTCAGTTAAGTAAGATGTTATGTGAATGTGATTTCTGCAAACCCGCATTAGAGGAAGAAACTAGTAATAAAAAATATATATAAAAAAACTGAAGAATCTGATTTCTGTGAACCCTGACCAGCGTATTTGAAGAACCTTTCAGTTTGAATAGGGTAATATAAGATAAGACAACGAGCTCACAGGCTATGTCAACACAAAAGAATTCAGATTCACTCTTATTTGTTACACATAAATAGATTTAACTTAGATGTGAATGGTTCCTCTAATAGAAATTGAAGTTTATTTGGTACAAAATTTAGTTTCAGGAAAGGAACTTCGGCCTTAATCAATAAATTTAGTTAACAAATGCACAAGGAAGTTCAAATTTAGAAAGAACAGATGATATATAAGTTATTCTCATGATGATTCAGTTCCAACAAAATGAAACATTCACCAAAATAACCAATACTTTCTGGTCCTAGTTGGAACTAATTTTGGATTAATTGAACTTCACAAAGAAACTGAGAGCAGACTGCCACTAATGACATAAGTGGACTCTTGGTTTCTGCTGATGCATCCAAGTCAAACAAACAGGGCATGGATATGAGCGCTTTTCATGCATCTTACAAAACACCGGATACCAGCAAGAGATTGATAGCGGATGCTAGAAAATCTGGTGCTCGTGCCGATGCCAACCTAGTATAGGTTATGAAGGTTAAACCTCCAATGCCAGGTTTTATATACTCTGTAAGCCGAATTCAATGTGTGAGCATTAATGTTCCAACCCCTCCAAAAAGATTAGCATTTAGTGCCATTTAGTTGAGATAAGAATAGCATCTCCCCTATTACGTACATACAACTTTTACAACACATTGTAACGATGTCATTATAGTAAAAAATAATCTGACTATTTTGGAAGATTCTCATAAAATACTTCAAAAACTGATACGGCACCGTAAGTTACTGAAATCACTATTTCAAGCAAGAAGTTGATGGCCAAAATATTTTACCAGAAAAGATAAAAAATATAGTAGTAAATAACAAATCATTCATCTCCATGAGTCAAGAAACAGCAAGTCATTTTCGTTCTATTTATTTTTTTTTTGGATGAAGGAAACAGTTTTCAATGTCAACCAGCCAGTTACTCAAATTTATCAAAATCATTGTTGAAATCATTATAACATAGCTGGCAAACCTGGCCATTCGTTGCTACACTAATTCAATCTATTATGCCGAAGTTTAACAAAACACTGACACCTCTTAATATGTCCAAACGACCGAACTGCTCACATCCCGATTCTAAAATGCTAATTAGCTAGCTTTATTTCTGATAATTACCGAAGCAATAAACAGCTCATTCTCTTTTTTTTTTTGATAAGGTAAATTGAAAACAGCTCATTCTCCTAACATGCAACTCCATCTAAGAGGAAGGAAGAGAATTTGTGGAAATCATGATATGCTAGTAACTACAGAGTACGTAACTTGGTTCCAAACGAGAATGAATGATGTGGAACAACCCATAACACAAAGAGCCAAAAACAGTGATGTTTCATGGGATATCAAGAAAAGACCAACTTTAAGCTCACACGGCTCTTCGGCAATTAGGCAAGTAAGAAAAAGATTTACCACAATTGTGCCATGCAAAAGTAGAAACTGCAGAAACATATTAATTTCGAAAAACCACTTACTTTTGGCAGATTAAGGTATCGCTTCTGTAGAATGGTGCTACTATGCTTTTATTTATCAGGAGAGAAAGGAAAATTCAAATCTATTTCAGAAAAGAAAGTAATGCGTATGGCTTTTGTGTTGTACTTATGTTGAAACAAGACGGTAGAATGGACCCAAAAACGGACAAAATGCAGATGCAATGCTTATTCTACTCGCGCAAGAGTAGGGTTTACATGCAGTCAGTTTTATTATGTGTTGGGTTTTATCCTTTTTTATAACAGTGGTATCCGGGCCAGCTTGCGCACATCGACTAATTCCACCAGACCTGCTACCTCCCACCTAATTCTATCAACCAAGGCTTAAACAGATGGGAAGAAATAACCTAGTGTTTCAGTCTGTAGATAGGCAAATCCATCCTCGTCCAATTTTGCTTGGTTTTTCTCTTTCCGGTTTGGGCCTTTTATCGGCTTCTAATTTTCTTTTGTTGGGCTTCTTATCTGCCATCGTCTTAATTTCCCCTTACACACCCTACCTGTAGTGATCGTTCACATCAACCTCCAATTCCACAAGCGGATTGTTGACTAGGAGCAGTTTAATGCTTCTAGGCTCTATCCATTATAAGGTATATAAATATGAGATGCTAATTCAGATATCAATGTGGTTGTCTCTATCGGGCTTGTGAGATTAGGGGACGGTAAAATTAAGGATCAATTTGTTAATCTTCAAATGTTGCGTAACCAACAAGAAACAGAAAAAGGTTTCGATTAGTTACTCAACCTTTTAATTTAAAGCATACAGACCTCCTAATCTCATCTGAGAGCCCAGTATACTTAATAATGAAAGGAACTTCAAGCTTTAAACCACATTTTATTGGTGATTCAAGCTTCATATAACCAGAATTATTTAAGCAGCCAAGTCTCACCTTTTTCAAGTAATCCTAGTAAATTTCCACACGACGTCTCAAAATTTTATTTTGTAGTTTTTATTCGGTTATTTT